GTGTTTTGCACAGTTTCCAGGTTTTTGAGGTTTTCTAGTTTTCTTTCTGTTATTGATTTGTAGTTTAGTTCCATTGTGGACGGAGAACATGCTTTGTATGACTTCAATCTTTTAAAATTCATTAATACCTTAAAATGAAATAAAACAACAAAAAATCACAATGACATACCATTTCATACTCACTAGAATGGCTCTAATAATAAAGATAGACAATAATTATTGACAAGGATCTGGAGAAATTGAAATTCTCATACATTATTAGTGGGAATATAAATGGTACAGCTGTTTTGAAAAATAGTTTGGCAGTTCCTCAAAAAGTTATACCTAAACTTACCAGGTGACCCAGCAATCTGCTCTTAGGTATATATACCAAAGGGAATTGAAAACAATGTTTACATAAAAACAAATACATAAATGTTCACAGAATCATTATTCATAATAGCCTAAAAGTGGGAACAACCTAGATGTCCATCAATTGGTGAATGGATATATAAACTGTGGTATAGCCATACAGTGACATATTATTCAGCCATAAAAAGGAATGAAGTAGGGGCGCCTGGGTGGCTCAGTTGGTTGGGCGACTGCCTTCGGCTCAGGTCATGATCCCAGGGTCCTGGGATCGAGCCCCGCATCGGGCTCCCTGCTCGGCAGGAAGCCTGCTTCTCCCTCTCCCACTTCGCTTGCTTGTGTTCCCTCTCATGCTGTCTCTCTCTCTTTCTCTCTGTGTCAATTAAATAAATAAATAAAATCTTTAAAAAAAAAAAAAAAAGGAATGAAGTACAGTAGTCCCTCTCCATCCGTGGTTTAACTTTCCATGGTTTCAGATACCCTCAGTCAACCATAGTTCAGAAGATGATCATCCCTCTGAAGTGTCATTAGAAGGTCAGCAGTAGCCTAATGCTACGTCACAATGCCCACATCATTCATCTCAATTCATTTCATCATATAGGCATTTTATCATCTCACATCATCACAAGAAGGGTGAGTATAGTAAAATAAGATATTTTGAGAGAGAGAGAAAGACTACATTTACATAACTTTTATTATAATATATTGTAATTTTTCTATTATTTTCTATTATTAGTATTGTATTTCTATTATTTTCTATTATTAGTATTAACCTCTTACTGTACCTAATTTATAAATTAAATTTTATCATTGGTAGGTCCATATAGGAAAAAGCATAGTATATATAGGGTTTGGTACTAACCACAGTTTCAGGCATCCACTGGGGGGCTTGGAATGTATTACCTGCAGATAAGGGGGACTACTACACTGATACATGCTATGATATGGATAAACCTGGAAGACACTGTTAAGTGAAAGAAGCCAAATACAAAAGACCACATATTGCATGATTCCATTTACATTAAATGTCCAGAATAGGCAAGTCCATAGAGACAGAAATGAAGTTAGTAGGGGCTGGGGGGGAATGGGATTTCTTTTTGTTCTGGAATTAGTGCACAACTTTGTGAATACACTAAACACCACTAAATTACACACTTTTATTTAAAAGCGTGAATTTTATGGGATGTCAATTATATTCCAACTTTTAAAAAAGTTCCTTTGAGTACTCTCATCATTCATTCCAGGAATGAGTGATTGATGGGATTGAATTCAGAGGCCAGATGATATCAACATATAGACTGTCATGAAAGAAAACTGTTAAAATGAACACATGGTTAAATGACCGTAAGCGGTAAAGAATAAGCTACAAGTCTAATTAAGAAGAAAAAGAGATGGCATTTTCTTTTTTTTTTTTAAAGATTTTATTTATTTCTTTGACAGAGAGAGAGATAGCGAGAGCAGGAACAGAAGCAGGGGGAGTGGGAGAGGGAGAAGCAGGCTCCCAAGGAGCAGGAAGCCCGATGCGGGACTTGATCCCAGGACCCTGGGATCATGACCTGAGCCGAAGGAAGACGCTCAACCGACTGAGCCACACAGGAGCCCAGAGATGGCATTTTCCTTGTAGTTTTCCAAATCAATATTTGTTGTCTGTTTCTTTTATTGTCTCTCTGAACTGGGGGGTATGGGGACAGTAGAGAAAGAGATGGGCTATACTACTGTCTGGTCCTTTTCCCTCAACAACTTTAATCTTTGAAGCTGTCACCCCCATTTACTAAGTCACAGGAATTTACCCTGCATAATTGGTACCAAAGCTAACTGCAACATAGCTCTTGCTATGATTTTTCAGCAATTCTCTTTCAACAAGCACTTCATATAGGAGTATGAAACAGGAGGAAATGATTTGCAAGTGATTGGAAAAAAGAGATAATGACATGTAACATTCATTTTTCAAAGATTTCAGGATTGAATTTTATGTACCACAGTAAGGAATGTGACACTTGGAAAGTTCCGCAGTCTTAACTCATTATTTTTGGGATTGGCCATACATTGGGAAGGCAATAGCCTGATATCCCCTTAACAGAGACAGAAGGGAAATTGAGATTGCAACTGCATGTGCATGTTGTGGGAAGATTAGTGACATTAAGGCAGAGGTACAGGCTGTCCATGGTTTGTTCATCCCCACAGTTACTCCATATTACTCTAATAGGAACACTAGACTCCATGTTCAGTGTTAACCATTACTTACCCTGGAGTAAATCAACTATTTTCATGAGAAAAGCTTTAGCTTAAAGAGGTAACTCTTCTTTCAGAGCCATAATGAATAGAAAGGAATCAAGTGGGGGAATGGAGAAGGTTGAAGAAATGAAAGAGGTCTGAAGAAAATGCAGCAGCTACAGAGGAAGCAATTACGTAAATTTCATAACTATCATGAGTTCACCTAAACGCCATCTGACTGGGACACCTGAGTGGTTCAGTCGGTTAAGCGTCTGCTGTCGGCTCAGGTCATGGTGCCGGGAGCCTGGGATGGGGCCCAAAATCAGGCTCCCTGCTCAGCGGGGAGTTAGCTTCTCCCTCACTCATGCTCTCTCTCTTAAGTAAACAAATAAAATCTTTAAATGCCATCTGATCAACATTAGCCCTCCTACAAGAACTGTGATCTGGTTTGATGAGGCCACAACAGGGAGAACTGGGGAATCCCTTAATTCCCCTTGGGAAGAGAGAAGCTCATTAATATGTGTCTAGGTACCCTCGTACCACTGTCAGAAAAGAACGATAATAACAGCACATGATTCTGCCATTTACATTGTCTTTCATCCACTGCAAGGCATTTTCATTCCCATTGCTCTACAAACCACCATGCAGCTACCAAAAAGCGGGCTTCTCCCAAGGCACATTTATTCGTCAGGAACATGGTCTCTTGTTCCCCTACACGTAACCTAGGTATGTCCCCAAAGCCTGTAGGCCACATACCTGAGTGTACTTGCGGAAAAACACCCCTTGGACCTTCCCAAAAATTTCATAATCCACTGATATCAGGGTGTCCCCTTCTGCCATGTTCATGCCTACACCTGTCAGAGACCAGAAAAGTAAAGGGCTCATTATCCTATTCCAGGACCCCAAATCCCGAGGAAGAAAGGGCCAGACCCACACTTCTCCATCTGTAACCACTGCGACCTCACCCTGACATTATGGTCCTCCAACGCCAGAGCACGCAAGCGGACACGTGCAAGCCCGGGTGTGCGAAGTAACAGGAAGACACCTGGGCCAAGGAGCTTTGGGTCTCAAGTGCCCACAGAGGCCCCCTTTGGGGCAATGACCTGCTTATCCAATTGCCTCCCCACACCCGTCCCCCGTCGGGCTTCCTCTCCATCCCTTCCTCTTCCCAAGGACCCAGCTTCCATTGGCCACCATAATCCCCTTCTACTAACATTTTAGGGGTATCAAACTATGGACACGCTACGGGGCCCTATCTCAGGCTCACCCTCCTCGTCCTCCTCTCGGGCGCCCGTGATTACACCGGCGACCAGCACGCCAACGGTTCCCACAGCCGGGTAACCTCGGCGCCCGGAAGCCTAGAGAGCGGCTCCTCCTTCGCTGTCTCACGCCCATCACCTCCAGCAACCAATCAGAAATGGCGCGCTCAGCCCAGAGCCCGCCCAGAGGGTGGGATTTCCAAACGCTCTTGTCTGAAAGAAGTAGCAAGCCTCAGGTTGGGGATCTGTCCAGAGTCTTAGCTCCGATTCTACAGACCCAGGCCTCACCCCACCTCTGTCACTAAGCACATTTTTTCTCATTTTTTTCGTGGGGAGAAAGGCGTAGATGAAGAAGGACTTGAAATAAATTCACTCACTCAATAAATATTTACTGAAAGCCTTCTGTATGCCAGACACAGTTCTAGGTGGTTGACCTACATTAGTGGACAAAAAGGATCACTGGCCTGGAGGAACTTAAATTCTGGAGGTGGGAGATGGAAAATAAACATTAAATACATAAATAAATTGAATAGGACACATACAGGCATACCTTACCTTACTGCACGTCACAGATACTACGTTTTTTACAAACTGAAGGTTGGTAACCCTGCATTGATTAAGTCCAACACACCATTTTTTCCAACCACATTTGCTCATTTTGTGTCTCTGAGTTGCACTTTGGTAATTCTCACAGTATTTCAAACTTTTTCATCATTATTATATTTGTTATGGTGATGTATGATCAGATTACAACTCACTGAAAGCTCAGATGATGGTTAGCATTTTTGAGCAATTTTTTAAAATTAAGGTATGTACATTTATAAAAAAAGTATGTACTTTTTTTAGATATAATGCAAATGCATACTTAATAGATTACAATATAGTGCATGAGGAAACCAGTGCATATAAAAGCTATATTTCTGGGGCGCCTGGGTGGCTCAGTTGATTAAGTGTCTGCCTTCAGTTCAGGTCATGATCCCAGAGTCCTGGGATGGAGCCCCATATAGGGCTCCTTGCTCAGCGGGGAGCCTGCTTCTCCCTTTCCTTCTACCACTCCCCCTGCTTATACTCTCACTCTCTCTGTCAAATAAATAAATAAAAATCTTTAAAAAAAAGTTTTATTTCTATTTGACTCACTTTATTGCAGTGATTGGAACAGAGCCCACAATTTGTCTGAGGTATGCCTGTACCTTTCTGCCCTGACTTCTTTCAGTTCTCCTCAAATTTGGGGCCATGCCCCAGTCTGGAATGGTAGCAAGGGAGATATGTGAATAGGAAGGCCCAGAGGAGGTTACTCCTCCTCCTGTGTTTCTGGAAGCTGCTTTACCTTACTAAGAAAAATCTAAATAATGCTTCTCTAAATCAATCAATCACAAGCACATGCAAAATAACCCATGGCTCCAGAATCACCATTGAATCAATTGAAGCCAAATGACCAAAATGCATGAATTTCTTTTGAGAAAACGGAATTGTCAAGGGAATTGTGGCTGATGATTATTAAAGGTACAGTTACCTTGCAGGCATTTGAATCTAGCTACCCTTATGATTAAGAATGTATGCAGGAAAACTGTAGTATTTATTTTTCTTCTTTGAATAGCTTGTATACATTACATCCCTTCATAACATAAGGCTCCATATGTGAATATTCCAGGTGGGCAGACTTGGTGAAGTGAGATGGATTTGCAATGGAAGCCATAAAGATTAATCATTTCACTTGTTCCCCCACTGAAAAGTGAGGATCCAGAGCCTGAAGAATCATATAACCTCAGTGCCAGAGTGGGGGTGGGGTGGGAAGCTGGACTGAATGTTATTCTTGGCAATATTTGAAAATAATGGCTAAAAAGAGTGCCTGGCTGATGTTATTTCTTTCTCTAAAATTCACTTTTATTTTTATCTTTTTTATTTATTTATTTATTTTTAGAGGGGGAGGTGGGCAGAGGGCTAGGGGGAGAGAGAATCTTAAGCAGGCTCCACATCCTGTACAGAGCCCAATTCAGGGCCTGATCTCACAACCCTGAGATCCTGACCTGAGCTGAAATCAGGAGTCCCTTATCTTTATTTTTTAAAGATTTATTTATTTTAGAGAGAGAGCACTAGCAGGAGGGGGAGAGGGAGAGGGAGAATCTCAAGCAGGCTCAATCTCTCATGACCCTGAGATCACGACCTGAGCTGAAACCAAGGTCAGATACCCATCTGACTGCGCCATCCATGTGCCCCTAAAATTCATTTTGAAAAAACAAGTTTCTCGATAGAATTAAAAAAACTATTGTCTACTACATATGAGACACTGTAGGCTATACAAAGATGAATGATATAATCTTCGTCTTCAAAGAGTTTTTTATTTAGTATAAGGGACAAATATGCATATACATAATGACAATAAAGTGCACAACATGCTAGTCAATCCCATGAACATCCATTGAGAGCTCATCATGACTCAGCCCTGTGCTACAACAAGAACAGAAAATACTTGAGAGTACAAAGGAGCAAAAAGATTCATTCTGACTGAGAAGATTGGGAAAGTGTTCTTGGAGGAAGCAGCACATTATCCAGGTTACACAACCACAACCAGTAAGTGATGGAGCTGGGATTTATTTCCAGGCAGTCTGAGTACAGAATGCACTCCCATAAATGTTATGCTCTACCACCTCCCAGTGCATGGAGCTTGGGTCAAGGTAATACCACTGAGAAGTAAGGAAGGAAGGGAGGAAGGGAGGAAGGGAGGAAGGAAGGAAGGAAGGATGGAAGGAAGGATGGATGGAGGAAGGAAGAAAGGAGGAAGGGAGGAGGAAGGGAGGAAGGGAAGAAAAAGAAAGAAAGGAAGGAAGGAAGGAATGAAGGAAGGAACGAAGGAAGAAAAGAAAGAAAGAAAGAAAGAAAGGGAAAAGAAAAGAGAGAGAGAAAAAGAAAGGGAGAGGAAGTGCAAGCAGTCAGGTGTGGCTAGACCAGGGGTTCTCAACCCCGGCTGCACATTAGAACACTGGGGGAAGCTTTTAAAAATACCAATACCCAGGTCTCACCCCCAGAAGTTGCTTTCCAGGGAGTCCTAAAGCTCAGCTAGGGTTGATATCCACTGGACTAGACTCTGGGGAGGCAGGGCTGGAAAGGTAGGCTGGACCTAATCTGGCAGATTGAAATACCATGTTAAATTATGTGTTTCAGCTTGAAAGGTAAAAGTAAAGAAGGTATAGGCAAAGAAGAAGCCACTGGGTAGGAGAATGATGGGCTCAGAGGTATTTAAGATAATTACCCTGGCAGCAGCGTAAAAAATGAGCTTGGGAGCAGATGTTGAAGGCAAGAATAGCAGTTAGGAGAGTGATGCTGTCCCAAAAGAAAAGTGAGGAAGAACTCACCTAGGGCAGTAGAAATGCAAAGGAACAGTCATATATGAGACATTGCAAAGTACATTAAACAGAGCCTGCTGACTAATTGGACAGAAGGGGTGACAAAGAGAGGGAGGAGTGCAAGATGACTGATGCTTTCAGCACAAAAGAGAACACCGGACAAGGGGCACCTGGGTGGCTCAGTTGGTTGGGCGTCTGCCTTTGGCTCAGGTCATGATTACAGGGTCCTGGGATTAAGCCCTGAGACCCACATCGGGCTCCCTGCTCAGCGGGGAGTCTGTTTCTCCCTCTGCCTTTGCCCCTCCACCCACTTGTGCTCTCTCAAATAAATAAATATCTTTTTTTTTTTTTAAACGGGAACACTGGACATGTAGATGGGGAAATGGGGAGATGATCATGAGTTTGTTTTCTGTCATATTGAGTTTGAGGTTCCTGAGGAACATTCATGTGGAGGTGCTAAATGGGCAGCTAGAAATTTGAGTCTGTAACTAAGGAGAGAGCTCTGAGTATCATTTAAACATAGGAGAGACCTGAAATTTCAGCATTTGGTTGAAATCATTAAGGAAGAGAATGTCTGGGACTGTGTGTATATGAGAAATAAGAGGGCTTTGGAAAACACCTAAATTTGGTGGGCAGGTGAGGAAAAGACATAAATGCCCGAGACCTGGAAGAAGATGGAGCAAAAACGTAAAGAAGAAACCAAGAAGGCACAGGAGCAAGTGAGAAGAGAGTTCCGAGGGAGTGAAAAATCAATGATGGCAAATGAGTAGGCTAAAGAAATAACAGCTTTTGTCTTTGGCCATTGGGAAGTCATCAACAGCCTGGCAGTTAAATAAAATGGAAAAGGTGGGAGCCAGACCACAGTGACTGGACACTGAGGAGCAGAGGAGGGAATGGGGACCCCAAATGCACAGTTGTCTATTAAGAAGGCTTGTGGAGAAGAGGAGAAATAAATGGGACCTTAAGATGAGAGGCAGCAGGTCACAGGAAATAAGTTTGTTTTGCAGGGGAAAGTTAAACATTTTAAAACCAAAGAGAAGGGGTGTGTGGATAGATACAACTTGAAGTGAACAAGAGGGAGGGATAAAGTGATGGAGTCAATTCCTGGAGGGTAAGGGAAGGGACTAATTCAACAGAACTCATGGAAAGAGGAAGATTCTTTTTCCTCGGATACAAGAGGGAAGGAATTCAAGATGCAGGGAGGCATTCTGGGGAATTCAGCCAGATTGGAGGGGAGCTGCAGGAGTTGATGACAGGCAGGCCAGATGCTGAGATAATTAGGACCTTGAGAGTGGGGGAAATGTCTGAAACTGCGTATATAGAGAAGGCGACAGAGTCAGCTAGGAAAGAAAACAAGGACTGCCCTGGAGGGCCCACCAAGGAATTTCTCTGGAACATGTAAAACTGTAATAATGACATGTTGAAGCATTAACACTGACTACTGCTGTCCACTTTATTTCCCATGTGCCTGAATCTTCTGAGTAGTTACAGGAAAAAAGTAAACTGCCTGTTCCAAACAGCTCACACAAACGAACTAAAGCATGAAGACAAACGCTCTTCTAATGTTAACAAGTTATAGAATATTATTTAGCGTTGAAAACCAGGTTATACAGATTATTTTCAATCTGGTAGGTAACTTTATTATCATTACACTTGGCTGAGTCACTCTCGGGCCCCACGAAGAGACGGCCAGAGTTACCACGTGAGAGTAAAACATTGTATCAAAATAATTAGATTGGCTATAAAAACTACCTCGGAAAGACACTGAGTAGCAAAACCTAGCCAAGTTGCTAAAATTTGACCGCAAGCTCCAAACTGTTGGCTAGGAAAAGCACGGAGGGACGGCCATACCTGGGGCCCGTACCAAGCAGCCGAGCGTGCTAAGAAAGGCTAGCAGCAGGCCCACTCCCGCTAAGTGGGCGGACACCGGAATCCTGCGGCAGGATGACTCCAAGGCACATCTAGGGGCGCCGTCTTTTGCCAGAGAAGGGCACACCCCAAGGTCTGCGAGCATCGTTCTCAGAAAAATACAAGCTCTTTGATGGAGCCCCAGAAAGCCTCTCCCACCCCCTCTCCCGTTCCCCAAGGGCAGGGCGGGACCGAGCTGCAGAGTTAGCGGGACACCGGGTCAAGTGACGCTCAAACTGACCACACCCCCCTCGCGGGCGTCTCCGGACCGCGTGCGGGCTGCGCCTGCGCGCGCTTCCGGGCGGCGTTCGCGGCTAAAGAAGGGGCTGGGCGCGCACGCGCTCCGTCTCCAGGCAACGAGAAAAACAGAGGCCCTCAGAGAGCGCCTGGGCGGCGATCGATTGAGGTGGGGGGAGGTCTGGTCTGGAAAACTAAGTCCTGGGGTTTTCCCTGAACAGGAACCGTCCGCCAGAGCCTCAGGTACGCGGAAGGGGGGGGCAGACATGGGGTCAGCACCTCGACTTCCCAAGGGCCCCATGGACAGAAGAGCGAGGGCTTGTTCCCAAAGCGGAGTCCCCAGTGGGGGCGCCTCGGCTGACCCTGTGGGACAGTGCGTGACTTCGGCGTTCCGGATCTAAAAGCTGCGGCGGCCAGGTCAGGTGGCCTCCACCTCTCAGGTTACAGACCTTTCGCTGTCCGCGCCGCGGGGACTTCTTGGGTGAGGGTTTCACAGCCAGGCACCTGCTGCAGGCCACGAGCGGCCTTTGTGTTCTTTGGAGTCAAGCACGGTTCCAGCAGGAGGGAAGCTGGAGAGCTCTTTGTGCCAGTCACTTACCTCTAGGCCGCAGTTTGCTCACCTGTGAACCGATAGGGCTGGACTCAGAGTCCTAAGGTTCCTAAATGCCAGTCATGTAACTCTGAGCGAAACTTCAGTTTACGGGTGAAGAAACCAGCCAGGAAGGGAAAGTTGCTTGTCCTGTGTCACAGGCCTAAAACCTGACTTTCGATCCAGTAAATCTTTCCCCCAACTAGGGAGTCTGCTGTGTATGGCAGGAGTATCACTGTGTATGGCAGAGACTGGTACTGGAATAAAGCTAGGTGGCAGGAACACCCGTGTCACACTCGTTTTTCTATCCTTAGGACATAATAAGCACCCACAGGAAATAATGAGCATTCACCAAATGCTTATTGAAGGAAAGCTCTGGCAGACCCAGCACCACTGTCCCTAAAAAGTTCAAGAGAATATGTAGGTAGGACAAATGTAGAAACAGTTTTACTTTAGCAGTGGGGGGGAAACCTCAGACAAACTCCTCACATATATCTGGTTTAAATCTCCTCCAGGCTTCAGTCCAGTCCCTGAATGGCTGGCCTCCAGTTGGCACCACCTCTGCCTGTGGGCGTTATGCTTCCTTATAATAAAACAGAAGCTCCAGGGCTCCTCTCAGCTAAACAAAAGCCCTATGAAAAAGGTGACTCTCCTCAGCGGTCCTCCATGGGGCATCTGAGGAACAATTCCCGGCAGAAGCTTTTGAGCAACAAAGAGCTGACACTGGATAATCTCTACACTCACTCCAAGTCGAACACCTGCACAAAAGCCCGGAACTACTCCTATCCCCACTGTGTTGGAATTAGCCAGCAAGATTCAAGAAGCAATCCCCAGGGCCAAGCAAAGGGTTTGTTTTACTCATCAAGTCCTCAGTCCCGGTATTCCAAAGCAAATAATCAGGAATTCATCCCCTTCACAAAGAAGCGAGTTGGGGTAGACCGGGCATACCCCCTGAAACCCGTGTTCCATACGAAGTCTCATAGTACACGTGAGGCTGGCATTGATGGGGACCAGAATGTCTCTCCAAGACCCCCTGAACCAAGAGAGTTTCCATACAGCAGTTTTGATTCAAGGAACTGGGTGAATCCAGCTGTGGTTCGTGCTGTTGTTGCAAACCCCAACAGGACTGAGTGGGTGCAGATCCAAAGACTAGAAGCTGCAGGGGAGAGCTTACAGGAGGAAATCCGAAGAAAAGAGACCCTTCTAAGGGAAAAGCTGAAGAAGACAGAGGAGGAACTCAGAAGGATCCAGAAAGAAAAGGAACAGGCTAAGGAAAATGAAAAAAGAGAGCTACAGAGAATGACACTCCCCAGGAGGAGAGGTAAAGGTAATAGCAACACCACATACAAACCTGCCTTCTCCCCAGAATTCGGGTCTGAGGAGGTCTTCAGTAGAGACAGGGGGGAGGATGAAACTTGGGGACGGTCTCGAGAAAATTCTAGTCCATTTCAGCTCTCTGATTATGGAATACAGAAGCTCAAAAGGGAAAGACTGGTGGCAAGCAATTACAAAATCCGAGACCTAGTCTCAGAGCCATCAGAGGAGTGTCCTCAGTCTTCAGAAGGGCCTGGCCATGCTTTGCGGGGAGCCACCAGCAATCCTAGTTTGTCTAGGGTACCAGACTCCTCGGTTTCCAGCTGTTCCACTGAAGAGCCCGAACTTGGCGAATGTAGCCACTGTGGACGCAAGTTTCTGTTGCTCAGGCTGGAGAGACACTCCAACGTCTGCCGCAGGATGCAGGGTTCCAAGAGGAAAGTGTTTGACTCCTCCAGGGCCCGGGCCAAGGGCACAGAACTAGAGCAGTACTTGAACTGGAAGGGACCAACCTCAGTCAAGGTAACAAGGCAAGGGTCTTATGGATTTGACTTTGAGTGGGGATCATTGTAAAGGGGATGTTATATCAGTTTTCTTTAGAACAAATTCATGTGTCATATAGGGAGAAAGTGAGAATTAACATTTATTGATTACAACTGTGTGCCAGTCACTGTGATGGGAGCTTTTCATAAGATCTTCACCACAACCCTGTAAGGGTTTCGTTGTCTCTTATTCAATCAATTCAAAAATCAAGTCGCAGAGAGTTTAACTTGCTTAAGATCACAAACAGCTTTATTTTTTTATTTTTTTTATTTTTATTTTTTTTTAAGATTTTATTTATTTGCGAGAGAGACAATGAGAGACAGAGAGCATGAGAGGGAGGAGGGTCAGAGGGAGAAGC